GAAAATGTTTTCTTTGAAAGGAAAATCATTAAATAATATCTTTGACAATGTTTGACATAAAACCTCCATTACTAACATAACCTACATTTAAATGTATGTGGTGAAATAATCTAAGTCGTACGTCCATATCTTGATTCATACCATTTTTAAGCGATCTGTCACTGCCAGCTCTCGTGGTTTCTACTATAGTTTGTATTTTTGCTTATAGCTATATCTTTTTCATTTAGTTAATTAATTTTGTTATTTAATTTTGATGTTATAATATTTTTTTTTCCTGTAACTGGGTGGTACCTGTGGGAAAACCTATAATAATAACCAAGATAATTACATTTGCGGGTTTTACGATATTTTCAATTTTGGCCTCTAGGGGAAGAACAAAAGACGATAGCGCTATGAGGTTTTCGGCATTAGCAGTTTCTCGAAAAACGAAATCATGACATATCAGCTACTTTTCTTCTAACTCTTACAGTTTTCGAGGTAGCCTATTCGAACATCGAATTTGAACCACCCTGTACTGTTCCTGGCCACTCAACGTCAATGCTTCCTTTAAAACCGGATAGGTTTGTGTTCTTAAATACAGGGTGTCTCACGTAACTGGTTCGTTAAAACTTTTTTAGGTTCCGGTATTCGTACAGTTTTGAAATTTTGGTTTTGTTCATTCAGAAATTTCGATCTAAAATATTTTCAAGATGGCTGCCACTTCCGGTCTACCGGAAGTAGACCATAACTTCGTTATTTTAAACGGCATGCTATAGTTTTTATTGCACCTTTTAATTGTACGTGAAAATTATATTGACTTTCATAAAAGTTATAGGTACCTAACCTTTTTCGTTTTCGAGTTATTTTGATTTTAAGGTTTTTTTGGCAAATTTCACCATGCTCTTTAAAACCCTATATCCCAGCCAACATTCATTCAAAAAAGCTCTAAATTGGCACGTTTACTCTTCATATGCTCTCAAATAGATTTTCATATATTGTATCAGAATATACTTATACTTATACAGGGTGGTCAAAAATTGAATTACCGTTTCTCCATATTTAATGGGGAGAAAGTCGAAAATTTTAAATGGAACGCCCTATATTTTGTTAGCCTACATGAAAGGGAATTTAATTCTCTACAATTTATTTATAAAAAAACATTAAAACCTGCATTTTGTGCATGTTTTAATAAATTTCGCAATATGAGGCAAACTACAATAAATAGGTATGGGAATGTTTATAGATAATTTGTAGAGAATTAAATTCTCTTTCTGATAGGATTAAAAAAATTTAAAATTTTCGACTTTCTCGCCATTGAATATGGAGAAAGAGTAATTCAATTGTTGACCAACCTGTATAAGATACTCCGATACAACAAATGACAATCTATTTGACAACATCTGAAGAGTAATCGTGGAAACGTAGATCTTTTTTGAATGAACGTTGGCTGAGATATGGAGTTTTAAAGAGCATGTTGAAATTTACCAAAAAAAGCTTATAACCAAAATAACTCGAAAACGAAAAACGCTAGGTACCAATAACTGTTATCAAAGTCAACCTATTTTTTTACACACAATTAAACAGTATAATAAAAACTATAGCATTTCATTTAAAATAGCGAAGTTATGGTCTACTTCCGGTAGACCCAGGGAAGTGGCGCCCATCTTGAAAATATTTTAGATCGAAAGTTCCGAATGAACAACCCATGCTACCAAAAAACCAAATCTCTACGAATAGTGGAACCTGAAAAAGTTCTAACGAACCAGTTACATGAGACACCCTGTATAGTTATGAACACTTCTGATAGGAATAATCGTTGCTTCTACTCAAAAATCCCGTTTTTTTCAACATTATTCATTTGTCGCTTAGTCAAGTGTCACATTGTCACATTGTACAGGGTGTCCAAATTTCGATGGGTTTGCAGGGTATCTCAGTTATTATGAAAGATAGAAAGTTGCGGCTTTCGCGAACCTGAGCTACTTTTTTGTGAAACTTACACTGGCGCAAACCAAATTTTCATAGCCCTCTACGTTTTTGATATACAGGGAGTGTTTGAAATTTACGATTTTTAGACACCTCCTGTATCTCGGCTATCCGGAAACTCAGTAAAAAACTAAAAACGGGTTCTAATAGATTTTTTCACGTGGAATCCAATGGTGCACGTAGAATTTTTCTAGTCATCACGGTTTTTGAGTTATAAACACAACCCAAATACTGAATACTCAACTTCTAAAACACTTAACTCTTTATAACTCACAAACCGTGATGACTAGAAAAATTCTACGTGCACCATTGGATTCTACGTGAAAAAATCTATTAGAACCCGTGTTTACGTTTTCGGATAGCCGAGATATAGGAGGTGTCTGAAAATCGTAAATTTTGAAACACTCCCTGTATATCAAAAACGAAGAGGGCTATGAAAATTTGGTTTGCGCCATTGTAAGTTTCACAAAAAAGTAGCTCAGGTTCGCGAAAGCTGCAACTTTCTATCTTTCATAATAACTGAGATACCCTGCAAACCCATCGAAATTTGGACACCCTGTACTTCTAAAAATTATTAAAACCCATATAACTTGAAATCCTGAAAAGATTGAATTGCCCTAAATTATTAAAACAAAAAACTCCTTTTAATTTTTTTAAATTTTATTAATTTTACATAAAAATCCATTGCAAAACACAACCAAAAACAAACCCTAAAACAAAAACAATAAGATAATTCGAAACCCTGAAAGGAAACCACCTCCTTTTTTCAGTAATAACATCAATAATTTTTATTTTATTATCAGAATACGGCGGATATCTCAACATTTGAAACTTTTCGGCTACATTTGAGAATCGTTTCTTTAAAACGCTTTTTTCATGCGTAAAAGTATCGAAACTTTTCTTCCCATGGTAACACCCCATACCACTACCACCAACCCCACCAAACGGTAATTCCCCGCATAATACTTGTATAACGGTATCGTTTATAGTCACCGATCCGCTTGAAGTTTGTTTCAAAATAAAATCGATATTTTCTGAATTTTTTGAAAAAATGTATAACGATAAAGGTTTTTCTTTTTGATTTATTACATCTATACCTTCTCGTATGTTAAAAACATTAACAATCGGTAAAATTGGCCCAAAAATTTCTTCTTGCATAATAGAATCAGTTAATTTTACGTTTATTAAGATAGTTGGGTCGATGTAAAGATCTCCACTATCGAAATTCCCCCCAATTTCAACTTGGGACGTTTTAATTAAATTAACTAATCGATTAAAATGTTGTTTCGTTATAATTCTAGAGAGATCGGACGATTTTTTTGGATCGTCGCCGTAAAAATCTTTCAAAATTAATTTTGAGTGCATCAAAAATTTTTTTTCAGTTTCTTTGGTACATAAAATATAATCGGGGCCGACGCAAGTTTGCCCCGAGTTTAAAAACTTTCCCCAAATAATTCTTCTAGTTGTTATCTCCATGTCTACGTCATCATCGATAATAACCGGGCATTTTCCACCTAATTCTAAAGTTGTTGGGGTTAAGTTGTTTGCTGCAGCTTTTTGAATAATTCGCCCCACTTGGGTTGAGCCGGTAAAAAAGATGTAATCAAATTTTTCTTTTAATAATTCGTTAGTTTCGGTTATTCCCCCCGCAAAAACTTTGTAACATTCGTAATCGAGGTATTTTTGTATGTTTTTAACCATGTATTTTGATGAGTTTGAGGATAACTCGGATGGTTTTAAAATGACACAATTTCCGGCTGCTATAGCACCAGCTAATGGTATTAAAGTAACTTGCATCGGATAATTCCAAGCTCCTATTATTAAAACAACACCATAAGGTTCTTTTATTATCATTGGGCAATCAAAAATGTAGTCTAAGCTTTTATCGAGCTTTTTCGGTTTCGTATACTCATTGAAATTATAAATTAAATTTTTTAAATCGTTTATAATCATTTTGTACTCGCTCATAAAGCTTTCTTGTTTCGGTTTTTTTAAATCTTTATACAACGCTTCGAAAAATTCGTTTTTGGTTTCTTCGTACATCGTTAAAAGTCGTTGTAATTGTTCTTTTCGAAATTTCAAGCACTTCGTACGTCCAGATTCGAACATTTTTCTTGTCGTTTCGACGAAATCTTTTGAGTTATTTGTTATGCGAACGGTTTCCTCCATGTTTATTACGGAAGTAGCGCACATTTCTCTTTCACTCGACACGAAAACACCTTTCTTAACTCGATCTAACGACTAAGAAAGTTTCTTTAACACTAAAACGATGAGAGAAATATTTTCACGACGAACGTTTGGGATTTATTTTTTTTTTCTTTTCGCTTTTACTTTCAGATGAAGAGGGGAAATAGAAAGTTTTATTTACTTTATTTTTTATTATTTACTTCCTGGCGTTACGCAATCATTTCACTTTAAATATTACCTTGCAAGTATAGGACAACTCGTAAAGTAATGGACGTACCGCTAAATATAGCTGGCTTTTTTCGATAAAAAAAAGACAAGGTCGTAAAATTAATGAATTTAAATGTTACAAAAAATTAAAAAAGATGTTTTATATGAAAAAACACCATAACATTTTACATTTTTTATCCACTATGAATTAAATTAATTCTCGTTCGATGCAGTTTGGATAAAACTTTTAAGCAATTTCGCCTCAATTAACCCTTTGTGTCCCAAGAAGTCAAAAATTTTGAAACTTTGTGACAGATTTAAAACGCTATCAAAATACACCCAGTAAAGGCCTTTGGAATCAATTTTAACAAAATATGCAATCCCCATTCCAGGGGGATAATGGTACTTGAGAGTACCGCCAAGCATCAAAATATATTTTAGTGATGTTGCTGTATAAAAAAACTTTTATTACTAATATAAAAATAATACATTTTTTATTACTTTAGAAAATAAGTAACACTTNGATCCTTAGGGTCGCGGTGCAAGGTTGGTTGGTCCGCCTACCCGATATGTATTCTATGTAATGTAATGTAATGTAATGTAATGTAATAGAATAATTGAGGTATTTATTAAAAAAAATCACATTAAACTAATAATTCTAATTTATTCATATGGCACACACTTTTCAAATTTAATTTGTTTTGTTTTGGTTAAAATTCGATTATTTTGGAAACTTTTTCTCTCGTGTACAACATTGACTCTATCACAAACACGACACTACACATACTAAAATCCGTCAAAGACTAATAAATAGTCAGAAAACGTAAGTACCTAAGCACGGTTTCTAAAAATAAATACTAACACGGTTATTACGTATTATTGTCCGTTCTTGATTTATTTTTATCGCCTTTTCACACTTCCTCTTCACTTTCGTAAGGTTCGATCGCTTCGTAAGCTATGCTAAATCCTTTAAATGATAATGAATCGTCAGTTTTAAATCTGATTAGTAACGCTTCGTTTACTGATATTATATCGGATGGTCTCTTAAAAACAAATTTTTAAATTAGAAATAAATTTTTAATTACCTAAATGATTTTAATCTTACAGTTTTCCCACAAAATCTTCCATACGAAGATCCACTTGAATCTAACCCGCTAAAAATCTCGATATAATCGTAATTACATTCTGGATCTCCTTCAATATCAAAGGTAACAAAAGTTAAACGCACGTTTAACCCGGTCATCGCTTCTATCGTCCAATCGCAATCGGTTTTATGTTCGTAAGGCATGCTTCCAAATTTCGAGTGGGAATAAAAATGTTTTCTTTCATTCGTCGCCTGAAGGTGGCCCCCACAAACCGAAACGTAAGTCGCCTAAAAATAAATCATTAATTTTTGTAATGAATTAAATTATTAATTAATTAACCTGAAATCCTTTTCTTTGAACCGAACCATCCGATTTGAACACCATATACATTTGATTACAAGTTGCAACGATTGGATGTGGAGTTTTTAATCCGCAAAATCGTCCTAAAATGGTCGATTCCGGGGAATCCCCGTCATAAAATACAATATGATCATAAGAGCATTCTTGATGCGATTCAATGTCAAAACTTAAAAACATAATTTTAATTCTATGCCCCGGGGTTGTTTGAAAGTGCCAAATGCAATCTTTTTGGCTCGGATAATATTCGGGGTAATTCGGCGATGATATTATCCCGTAAGGGGAGTTAATTTCATATTTACAACCACCTTCTTTACAATCCCTTCCGTTTTCGTGCAAAGTAAACCCATTATGGCAAGTGCAAGAATACGAACCGATCGTGTTAACACATTCGTGCTCACAACCGCCTTTATTTATAGCACATTCATCTCGATCCGTTTGAAAAACGGCGGCAAATCCGGTTTTTTGCACGCTCACATCCGATTTAAAAACAATTCTTAAAACGTTCGTTTCTGAGGTGATCGCAGTCGGCGGTTTTCCACCACAAAATGATCCTATTTTTGTTAACTTTATATCACTGTATTTATTATAAATTTCAATGACATCGTATTCACATACAGGTTTATTTAAATTACTATTTCCTTCTAAATCGAAATGGGTGAAGTTTAAATTGATGCGGTGTTCCGGGAACGTTATGATTTCCCAAACGCAGTGTTTATCTGGGGGGTAAAGTTGAGGGAATGATGGGGATGTGATCGTGCCGTTCTCCGTGTCGTAAACTCCACCGCAAGCATCCTCGCAATTTTTTCCATCCGAATGCAATTCATAACCAATTCGACACGCGCATTTATAAGAACCCAAAGTGTTAATACATTCTTGGGCGCAACCATGATTCACCATCGAGCATTCATCTAATTCTTTCATAAAAGTCGCCGAAAAGCCAGCTTTCTGAACCGAACCATCCGAAACGAATTTCACCCAAAGATGATTTCCGGTTGATGTGATATTTCCGGGGACTTTGTATCCACAATAAACCCCGATGCTTTGGCTCTCCTTAGTTAACCCATCTCGAACCTCAACGTAATCATAAACGCAATTGTCGTGATTTTCAATTTCAAAGGATTGAAATTGTAAAGTGACTTGATACCCCTCTGGAACAGATAACCTCCAAATGCATTCTTTATTCGGTTGGTATTCCTCGGGGAAATTCGGGGATTCTAAGTGTCTACTTGTTTCTAAATCTAAATCTCCGCCGCAAACAGCTTCGTAATTTGCGGAGAAACCACGATGGCCCCCATTTTTCATGACTAAAGTGAGCAACATTCTGCTCCCAGAAGAAACGACCGGGCCCGATATTGCTTTTGAACCACAAAATTTTGCTAATAAAGGAGATTTGTGCCAATAACCATCTCGTATTTCTAAATAATCAGTGCGACAATCTGTTGATTTCGCAACATCGAAATCGGTTATGTTTAAATTAATTCTTTCTCCGTGAGTAGCCGATATCCTCCATTCGCATTTTTCCCCATCCTCCGGAAGACTATGATCTAAGTAATTTGGGGAAATTATCGTCGCCGAATTAGCTTGGAAAGTTCTGCCACATTCTTAAAATAAATTAAAAAAATCGAATTAATTATTAATCCAATTTAATTTACTTACTTGGACATTTATACAAAAGATTTGTTTGTGCAATATCCCCTTCGCTCAAACGTAATCGCTGCCCAATCTCGGGCCTTTTCCTTGATGGCATATCAACCGGTTGAATCGTATCCAAATACGTGCCCTTCGAAAACGTGTTTCTAGCGTAGTGCATAATGGAATCGTAATCGTAAGTTAATCCCAACGAGTTCACTTCCTCTTCATTCAATTTATTAAAGTTGTACTCTTGACCTATTTAAAAAGAATAATCAAAAAAAAATTCGTTATAGCATAAAAAGAAAAATTTAAATTTACCATTCATGATATGGTCCCTATTGATGTTAACGTGTTTATCCCGATCCGGGCGTGTGTGTTCATGCCAAAACCCGACCACGTGACCTAATTCGTGGACGACAATTCCGAATTTATCGCAATTTTTTCCAATACTTATAGCTTGAGCACCATTTCCACGTTTTCCAACGAACGAACAACACCTAAAATATATTTTTTTTTAATATTACTCAAAGTAATTCTTAAAATTATCTAAATACATCAAATTATTATATTTTATTGAATAAGCTTTAATTTGATACCAAACACGATATGTTTTCGTTAAAAAATAAAAACCGGAAGTGAATGGTTTATATCGGATATAACGAAAAAGAATCGATTTCTCAATTTTTATGTGCTTATGCTCACTTTTAACGTACAATATTAATTATCTTGAAAATTTATTTAATGAATTTTAACCCTTTGTGTCCCAAGAAGTCAAAAATTTTGAAACTTTGTTACAGAATTAAAACCGTCAAGCATCAAAATATATTTTAGTGATGTTGCTGTATACAAAAACTTTTATTACTAATATAAAAATAATACATTTTTTATTACTTTAGAGAATAAGTAACACTTGCTTTAGCTAAATCACATTATGATATTCAGAAAAACAGTTCTTTCTTTCATTACAACATAAATTGAGTGGGGTCTAGCTTTGGCAGAACAATTTTTACAACTTCCTCTTTCTACGGCGTTTTCATGGCAAATTTGAATATTTATTTATCAGACCTGCAGCTACAGAACGACGAAAATCTGATAGAATATTGAGAAAAAACATATTGAGCAAAAACTAACATTTTCACATAATCTAAGTGTCAAAAAAGATGCTAATTCAAAATTTTTTGGCAACCGCGTTTATTAAAATTAAGAAATTAAACTAATTTTAAATTGAAGCTTAAAGGTTTCTGTTTAAATCGATATGTAATAATCGTTGGGGTAGATTGGAAAAATATTAAAAAAAAAAGTGGAAACAAGACTTACATTTTTGTATAACCTAAAAGTGTCAAAAAAGGTGATAAATTAAAAATTCCTGGAAGCCGTATTTATTGAAATTAAGGAATGAGACTTGCTCTAAATTAAAGCTCAAAGCTTTCTCTTTAAAACGATGTATAATAATTGTTGGGTTGGATTGGAAAAATATTGAGAAAAAAAATGTTGAAACAAAACTTACATTTTCGTATAACCTAAAAGTGTCAAAAAAGATGCTAATTTAAAAATTCCTGGAAGCCGTATTTATTGAAATTAAGGAATGAGACTTATTCTAAATTAAAGCTCAAAGCTTTCTCTTTAAAATGATGTATAATAATTGTTGGGTTGGATTGGAAAAATATTGAGAAAAAAAATGTTGAAACAAAACTTACATTTTCGTATAACCTAAAAGTGTCAAAAAAGATGCTAATTTAAAAATTCCTGGAAGCCGTATTTATTGAAATTAAGGAATGAGACTTATTCTAAATTAAAGCTCAAAGCTTTCTCTTTAAAATGATGTATAATAATTGTTGGGTTGGATTGGAAAAATATTGAGAAAAAAAATGTTGAAACAAAACTTACATTTTCGTATAACCTAAAAGTGTCAAAAAAGATGCTAATTTAAAAATTCCTGGAAGCCGTATTTATTGAAATTAAGGAATGAGACTTATTCTAAATTAAAGCTCAAAGCTTTCTCTTTAAAATGATGTATAATAATTGTTGGGTTGGATTGGAAAAATATTGAGAAAAAAAATGTTGAAACAAAACTTACATTTTCGTATAACCTAAAAGTGTCAAAAAAGATGCTAATTTAAAAATTCCTGGAAGCCGTATTTATTGAAATTAAGGAATGAGACTTATTCTAAATTAAAGCTCAAAGCTTTCTCTTTAAAATGATGTATAATAATTGTTGGGTTGGATTGGAAAAATATTGAGAAAAAAAATGTTGAAACAAAACTTACATTTTCGTATAACCTAAAAGTGTCAAAAAAGATGCTAATTTAAAAATTCCTGGAAGCCGTATTTATTGAAATTAAGGAATGAGACTTATTCTAAATTAAAGCTCAAAGCTTTCTCTTTAAAATGATGTATAATAATTGTTGGGTTGGATTGGAAAAATATTGAGAAAAAAAATGTTGAAACAAAACTTACATTTTCGTATAACCTAAAAGTGTCAAAAAAGATGCTAATTTAAAAATTCCTGGAAGCCGTATTTATTGAAATTAAGGAATGAGACTTGTTCTAAATTAAAGCTCAAAGCTTTCTCTTTAAAATGATGTATAATAATTGTTGGGTTGGATTGAAAAAATATTGAGAAAAAATGTTGAAATAAAACTTACATTTTCGTATAATCTAAAAGTGTCAAAAACGATGATAAATTAAAATTTCCTGGAAGCGGTATTTATTGAAATTAAGGAATAAGAGTTATTTTAAATTAAAGCTTAATGCTTTCTTCTTAAAATGATCTGTAATAATCACACCTAATAACCATTTATTAAAGAGATACCTTTTTGAACAACAAAATTCAACAACACCACTTTCACTAAACTTCTAACCTCACATCTGGACGAATAAATTGAAATATACCTAAAAACCCTGCAGTAAGGATTGTAGATTGTGGATTGTGGATATCTCGGGTGTTATAATTCCTAGATATGTCGATTTTGGGTTCATTTCAAACGTTTTTTAATTATCTACCATAAAATTTACGAATTAATTATTTTCGACCTTCTTGGATTTTATAAAAAGCTTTAATTGCAAAGTAGGTCATGTTTGGGTTCATTTTAAAGCATTTTTAACGCTGATTATAAATTTTTTAATAAAAATTTTTAATTTGTTAATTTATTTTTTTGGGTCTTACCCACAAGGTCTCTCGGTGAACAAGATATAATTCGGGTGATCTATGACGGATCTTTCAACGAATTTTACACAAGTAAAATTTTCCCAATGTCTCATCGCCTGTTTAAACAAAGCTTTGTGTTGCCCGCTAAAATTACCATCGATTTCGTACGGAATAACACCGTAATCCCAAACCCTTTCTTTCCGAGCCGTCGCAGCTCTCGTTATCCTGCGATGAATCGACTTTTCCCCGTAAATATTTCCAATTTCAGTATTTAATTTCGATCGAAAATCAAATTTGGGCTCGAATTCGTGAATTGGAAAATCTTCGCTTAATTTTTGCGGGGGTAAAGATGATGTCATTTCTTCACTAAAAATTAGAAAATATATAAATTTAATAAATAACTAAGAAATTTGATTTTTTAACTTTTGAGAATTTTCATTTTTTCTTTTTCTCGATCTTTTTTGATGTCGTATTTTTCTTTCATTTTTAAGATTTTCCTTAAGTTTAACATCGAAAAACGGTTGCGATGAGGCTCGAACTGTGAAATCTTGTTTTAAATCGCCCAAATTTTGCGAAAATTTATCAACGGGGTCGTTGTAATCTTTGATAACATCGTGGGGGAGCGGTTGTTTATGTTTCTTTTTGATCAGCTCTAACAGACCTTCCTCTTCGATTTGAAGCCCTTCTAAAACTAATTTTCTTAATTGATCTTGATCCTTTTTAAATCCCGTTGTTGGGACATCATCGGGGATCGCGATATCGCCGAGAAACATTCCTAAAAATTAATTCATAAATTAATAAGATTGTTTACAACATGATTTGATCTTGATGTTATTAAAAAATGATTATTATGCAAATATGTCAAGGTTGGATTATTTATTTGTTATTTATATCTTGCATATAAGGTTTCATCTTGATGTTATTTCATTTTTTTTTTGTTATTTGACAAAGTTGAGGCGGTAAAAAACGTGTATATACAGAGATGGGTATTGTTTCGGGTGTACAAAACGTGTGTGTAACTGAATAACTCCATTGAAAAGATGGTTTTGAATGCTTTGGAGGAGAGCGAGAGGAATTTCTATTCATCTCCAAAGTGTATTCATACAGAGAGAGTATGTTCGTGTATTCAGAACTGGAACGAGCTGATTTTCATTTCGTTTCGTTTTATTGTAAGCTTTTTTTTTAATCCTTCGCTCAAATAGAACTTGTTTTGGAAGCGAGATTTTTGTTCGTGAGAAGAAATTTTTGTATGTATGATTTAAAGTTTTACAACAGACGATTTGTCTCCATGTTTTATTTGATAAATAATTTCTTTATCGACTTTTGAACTCTAAAAAATAAGGTTATCTCTTGGAAGAAAAAAAATAAAAAAGTTGCTGTCTCTAAAAAAGTGTTTTGAATAAAAGTTTAGTTAAAATTTACGATTATTGGGGGGTGAATTGATCCCTGGGGAGTTGTTTCATGATGTATAAATCATTTATTAATAAATCACCGGATTGGAATGCAAACAGTAGCTATTTGCGCGCAAACAACGCTACTATCCCCTTCCAGTTGAACGAATTTGCGAGTTTCCGCGTTTCCTCTCTGTAATTAAAAATTTTCACCGACTCGAATATCGATTTCCACCACCACTCACAATAAATGCTAAAATTCGTATTAACAAAAACTAAATATTTAACAAAGTTGCATTCAAAATGAAATTTATTTTCTCCTTTTGTTTTGTAAACACGCGATAAGAACTATTTGTTTCCTAATTTATTAGGAAAAGGATCATAAATCATCGATTAAAATCAAAACTAAATTTAAAGTTTAATTATGGAAATAAATCGAACCGACCAATAAATTAAATAATATGTCAATTTTATCAGCAGTGTACGCACGCTCCGCTTTTTTTCTCCAATTTAAATGCTGTTTTTAATCGTTTCTTTTGAAAGTGATAACCCTAAAATAAATTGTGCTGCGGATAATTTGTCCGCAGAGCGGTAACTGCTCCGGGTTTTTTTTTATTATTTCTCGGAATCAAAATCGTTATCGTTTTTTATTCAAAGAAATGAGACTAAAAACAACAACAAAAATAATAAGAAAAAAGATATTTTTCTTTATTTATCATAAACATTAAAATTACAACATGATAAAATCGTCAAGAGTTACTCATTAAAGCGGAAATCATCTCATGAAATAGAAAAACTGGCGATAGAAAACATCTTGTTCTTACTTAATAAAGTTAAAAAATTTTGAAAATGACTACCAATGGTATTATTTATTTTTATTTATTATTGCTGCCGGGCTGAGGAGGGCGGCCCCTCTCGTTACCGCGACCTATAAGATCTATTGTAACTTTAGCCCTCCAAAGGTTTAGGGCAAATGTAGGTCCTTAATGAACCTTAGTATTGTCCTAAGGTCTTGAACCTTTATGTCGGTAGGTAACAGGGGAGTTTTACCGAAGACGTTGTGCCTTAGACGTCCTCTGGCGACGCAATTGCACAGTATATGTTCAGCAGTTTCTGACTCGTCGTTGCATAGTCGACAAGTTTGATCCTCAGCTTGTCCAATGTGGAAGAGGTGGTATTTTAGGGGCACATGGCCGGTTAGGTAGCCTGAGAGCGTTCTTAGATCCCCTTTGCTGAGGCATAAAACCTCTTTGGTTTTGTTTTGCGACGGAGTTATCATACTCTTCGCTTGTCTGTGACCTGGAAGTTCTTTCCAGCGTAAGGCTATCTTTGAAGCCTCCCAGTTGTTGATTATTTGTTTTAGGTGGCTTTTTTGTAGTCCACATCCAGGTTGGGGTCCAATGAAGGGCGTGTTTGCTGCCTCTTTGGCCAGCTTGTCGGCCTTCTCATTGCCCTCAATGTTGCTGTGACCTGGAACCCACCATAGGGTAACATCATTGCCCCTAGCGAGTTCTCTCAGGTTGTTGGTGCACTCTCTGATCAGTGCGGAGCCACACGTGTAGGCCTGAATTGCCTTTAAGGCGGCCCGACTGTCTGTGAAAATGTTTATGGATGCACCTTTTTGTCCCTTCTGTAGGTTCAAAGCGGTGCAGAAGTTTATAGCAAGAACTTCTGCTTGGAAAATTGTTAAGTCCGAGCTGAGGGGCAATTTGATGTGGCTATTTGGTCCACTGATGCCCATGCCTACTCCAGATCTTACTGTCTTTGAAGCATCGGTGTACCAGGCTAGGGCTCCTCTTTTTAGTTGAGGCCCTCCTTTCGCCCAATCATCCCTGCTACTAAATATGACCTTATACGGTTGGTTGAAATTGTATTCCGTCGGTATAAGGTCCGTTTTAATTTCAATCAGGTGATTTAGACATGGGTCTTTGAGGATCTCGAGGTGTCCTCTGAGATTACCCTGCATCAACTTGAGTGAAGAAACTGTTTTCAGTGATAAGGCACTTAAGGCTGCCTCCTTTTGTATATATATGTGGAGCGGTGTGAGACCGAGTAGGGCTTCCAAAGCAGCCGTCGGACAGGATCTCATTGCACCCGTTATGTTAAGACATGCTAACCGCTGGATTTGTGCCAGCTGTTGTTGAGCTGTCTTATGTTTTGTTTTTGGCCACCAAACCAATGAGGCGTAGGCGACCATGGGTCTGATTATTGCTACGTAGGCCCAATGAGCCATTCGTGGTTTGAGACCCCAGTTCCTTCCTAGGAGCCTGCGGCAGATCTGGTTTGCCATGATGGCCTTTTTCCTCACCTTATCTAAGTGTGAGTTCCAGTTTAGTTTACTGTCAAGTATTACCCCTAGGTATTTAGTTTCTGTTTTGAGGTTAATAGTTCTGCTTTCAATGGAGGGTGCTTTTATTTGTAGCTTCCTTCTCCGAGTGAAAGGGACTATTTCGATTTTATTGGGATTGATGCTGAGCCCATTGCTTCTGCACCAAGTACTGGTGAGTAGTAGGGCTTTCTGCATTAGCTGAGTTATGATTGAATCATATTTACCTCGGATTGTGATTACCAGGTCATCAGCATACCCTTGTATCTTAAATCCGTTTTTAGTTAGGATGTTCATCAAGTCATCAACTACCAGGCACCATAATAGAGGTGATAGCACTCCCCCTTGGGGACATCCTCTTAGCGCCTTTATAGTCAGCGACTCGCCTCCCAGACTGGCTGTGATCTGCCGACTTTTCAACATGGCTATGCACCACTTGATTGTCGACGGATGTATGTCTTTTGCGTTTAAAGCCTTCTCTATGGATTCATATGAGGTGTTATCAAACGCACTCTCTATATCTATGAAAGCACAAAGGGCTATCTCTTTGGTTGCAATTGCCTCCTCTAAGGTGCTAGTCAAAGCATGGAGAGCGGTAATTGTTGATTTTGCTTTCTGGTAAGCATGTTGGCTAGGGTATAAACAGGTTGATAACAGAAGAAAGAGAATGAACAGAGACTAGAGAGGGATGAGACAGACTATACAGAAAAGAGCTAACAATAAGATAAAACTAGAAAAACTCTACAGAGACTGAAAGCAGGAACAATGGACTTGGCAGGAAGCTGGGGGACCAGAACAAAGCTAATACTTGCAGAAACAGTCTGATAATAAAAGAAAAAACTAAACAGAGATTAGAAAGAGAAGAAAGAAACTGTACAGAAAGAAGACTGGGATATGACCAGTGATGGGCGTTGGGTAAATACCCGACGGGTAGGTATTTCTAAAATGGGTATTTATCCGGGTATTTACCCCGGCCTAGGGTAAATACCCAAACAGTGGGAACAAAAGTGATACCAGTCAAAGTATATCAGATTCCAAAAAAATGAAGAGGAAGATGATAAGAACGTTGAAAACGAGGAATTGTCAATAATCAAAGACGTATTATCATTAAACGAATCTGTCGTAATTTAGATTAGATCAAGTTATTATGATTATTATCATCAAGCAGTCCTCTGCGTCCATTGTTGGACATAGACCTCCCCTATTCTGTCCCGTTCGATTCTATTCTGTGCTGTCTGAATCCAATTGTTGGTCATACTTTTCACGTCTACTTCGTCTGTTCACTCGCGGTGTCCACTCAAGTAACTGCTCATTCTTCATTCGCACGACATGACCCGCCAAGTTCCACTTAAGCTTTGCCACAATGTTGACCACCAGTTCATTTACGCCTATTCTTCTTCATAGGTCTTCATTTCGTATGTAGTACCTCAGAGTTAGACCCAGGATCGACTTCTCCATCTATCTTTGCATAACTTGGACCCTCTTGGCAGTGGCTACAATTAATGTTAAAGTTTCGGAGTCTTATGTTATAACCGGAAACACTCATTGATTGAAAGCCTTTCTTGGCCTTTTGGGTTGGCCTCACGAGTGTGATCCTTCTGTTTAGTTCGCTTGTTTGATTACCTCTCAATACACGAACCTCATAGCCAAGATATACATAGCTGTCAACCTTCTCAATCTCATTATCCCCAATTTCGATGTTATAGCTGGGAACAAGATTTATCATAAATTTTGATTACTCCTCATAGATATTTAGACCGACTCTTGCACACAACTCCTTTAAGTTGTTCAGCATTAGTTTAATCTCTCCAAGGCTATCCGATATAAGAACTATATCGTCCGCATAGCGCAAATTACTTAAGCATTTGCAATCAATGTTTAGGCCTTTTTGGGTCCAATCTAGTTGTCTAAATGCACTCTGAGGACTGTGATGAACAATTTGGGTTCAACAGTGTATCGCCTTGTTTTACTCATAATCAGTACTTTACTACTTTTACCCTCTTCGGTACTTTCATGCAATTGTACCGTCATTGTAGCATTCTTGGGGATGTTATAAATAAGTTTGGTATATCGATAATCGACTCTGCATTCTTGAAGTGCTTGCAAAACTGCCATCAACTCAATTTAAATTAAATTTTATAAATACCTCTAAATACCCATCTTGGGTAAATACCCTCGGGTATATATCCAGGAAATTTACCCTTGAAAATAAATACCCGGGTATTTAACAACACTGATTA